GGGGCTGGGCCGGGCCGCGAAGGAGATGGCCGCTTCCCCGCGGCGGGGCCCGGCGGGCAGCGCTGGCAGCAAAACAAGCACGGTGATGTTAGATAGGTGACATTTGCTTTTATCTAAGCAAGTAACCGAGGGAAGGGAGGGGGGAAGAAAACCATTAGCGAACAAGGTCACTTGATCCTGATCCCCTAACTCACTGTAAATACAAAATTAAATACTTCTTATGTGATCTGACGCCTGCTACACCTCAGTTGTATACCTAACATTTTCCTGAAAATAATACTGTGATCAAAATGCTGTATTTCCGGGATGGGCAACTGGATGGCGTTTTGCTACGATACAGTCTTTGCTTTAAGTCTACTCCAGCAAGTTTCCCAACAGGGAGGAAGCGGCTAGAAACCTCCTCAGGCCTGGCTCACCACCAGACATTGGAGGTATCCGCAAATGTAGACAAATATGCTGTCACAGCCGCTGTTGATAACCAGAAAACCAGCCTAGCAAAGCTGGCTGGCTCCCAGAGCAGGAGGAGCGGTAAAGGATTGTACAGCATCCCTCAGCCTGCTTGGAATAAATTCCCTATTACACATGTAGCAAAGCCCACGCTGCCAGCTTGACTCAGGCTTGAAAAAATCAGCTTTGCTGGCCAAAGTTCATCTATTTTGTCCTTAACAACCTGCAATGACGCAAGGCGTTACAATGTCCCAAGACAATCTGTTCCAGAGTTCATTGCTGTGGAAAGTCCCCAACTAGAGGGCAGATAGTTTTAAAGAGGGTGGGAACCCAGGCTGTAACAACCTGCAGGCATGACACAGATGTGTGCCATGGAGGCATGAGGATGGCTTTGGCTGGTCATGTGTACCAGTGTGGTTCTCATCCTCTCTGCCCTTAACCCTGGTGGAAAGAGATTATTTCTTCCATTTGCAGCCGCCTTTTGGGGTGTGAAGATTGGCGCCATTCCCTCTTCAATCTTCTTTGGTTAAATTTATCAGCTTTATAATTGAGCAGAATGTCAAAGCAATGTCCTGCTGCCCCAAGAAAATCATTAGCACAGCTGTACAAGCACTGATTAAGAAAATGGGGTTTGGTAGTTTTTGATTCAAAAAGACATTACCAATGACTTAATATTCCTATGTCTTTTTATTCAGTTTTTAATTTTCAAAAATAAGCCTTTTAATATTAGGCTCTTATTAGGCCTTGATCCCATGACCTCTTATTTGAAAGGATCAAACTTTAAACAGAACTATATTAAGAAGAAATCTTCTGTATAATGACATGGAAACAAAATCATTTGCCACACAATCACGTCTCCTAATAAAAATAGTGTAAAAACTAGATAGAGCAGAGACTTCCCTTCATATTACTCAAAATAATTCCAGAGCTGTATAGCAGTTACTTAATATGTAATTCATGTTAGTTGTGATAAGCAATATTGGCAGAAATTTCTATCTTCATTCTTAATCCCTCACTGTAAGTAGCTTACAAAAATTCAAACCTGCCTTTGCATTTTGCTGTAGGAAGATACACCATCTTTGCCTGAGTCTCCCACTTTTAATAAGAAATACTACAAGAAGCATGAAGAGAGAGATCACTAATATTTTGAATGGAAATGAAACTCCACTAAAATAAGTCCAAAAGGATTCTTATCACATGCTTACATTAGTCTTTGTAGATACCTATAAACTTTTCTTACTCTTTTCTAAAGCTTTACAGGCTGAATTTTTGGCACTCTGCAATGTATACCTTTGTTTGCAAAATACCCATTTGACATGTTTACAGAAACACATGCTCCGAAGTGGAAATGCTGTATCACCTACCCTGTCATCTCTATTGCATCCCTTACAGAGGCATATCCATGATCTCTGTAGGCCTGGATGGACAAAACCTTTCAGCACTGGAAATCCAGTGTCTGTTTAGGGCCACCTCCTATTCTGCTGACTTTTGAGACTAAACGTAGCAGGTTAGACAGGCTAATTTTAGGGGCTGGATTTGGCTGCAGGTGTACCAGTTAGCGCCCCCCTCACTCCCCAGTTTAGGCGATGCTCAGTTCCTTATTTATGCTGCTTTTCTCTGTCCTCTAAAAATGGGGTATATGTGTACAGAGAGAGCCCTTTGCATTACTTGAGCAAAGTCAAGGTGAGAATGGCAGAGATAGGGCCTTGCTAATAGCAGATCCAGGAAGAATGAGGTTTACCTAGACCATAATAAAAGAACACCCAGTAACTGTGACTAGGTAGGGCATGTTTTTCACTGCTTCTTTAACTCCCCGAGATATTTATAGTTTACACGTCACTGATGAATCACAGAACTACAGAATGGTTTCGGTCAGGAGGGACCTTTACAAGTTGTCTAGTCCAACTGCCCTGCAATGGGCAGGGACATCTTCAACTAGACCAGGCTGCTCAGAGCCCTGTCCAACCTGGCCTGCAATGTTACCAGGGAGGGGGCATCTGCAGCCTCTCTGGGCAACTTGTTCCAGTGTCTCACCACCCTCACAGTACAGAATTTCTTCCTTATATCTAATCTGAATCTACCTTCTTTCAGTTGAAAGCCGTTACCCCTCATCCTATCACTACACTCCCTAATAAAGAGTCCCTCCCCATCATTCCTGTTGGCCCCCTTTAAGTACTGGAAAGCCGCTGTAGGGTCTCCCCGGAGCCTTCTCTTCTCCAGGCTGAACACCTCCAACTCTCAGCCTGTCCTCACAGGGGAGGTGCTCCAGCCCCGTGAGCATCTTCGTGGCCTCCTCTGGACCCGCTCGAGCAGGTGGGGTGTCACGAGAGGGAGTAGAGGGGGAGAACCCCCTCCCTCGACCCGCTGGCCACACTTCTGATGCAGCCAGGACAGAGTTGCCTTTCTGGGCTGCGAGCGCACACTGCCGCCTCACACCCCGCTTCTCCCGCAGCGGCTCCCCCAGCCCTGCCCGGCGGCAGCAACGGCCCTTTAAGGAGGCGTCTCCCGGCGGCGGGACCCCGGTGCCCATTGGCGCGGCGGCGGGAGACGCCTCC